AATAAAATTAATCTTTGCAGAAGTTGCATATGAAGTGGCATTTAGATGCATTTACACATGTTAATGCAGCTTAGAGTGACATGGAATGCTTTAAACTGCAGTTACAAATGCATAAATAATGTTTTGATATTTAAATCATGAAATGTTGAATACTGATATTTGAAATTATTAAAAAAATGAAAAGATACTTTAAAGGGGTCATATGATGCTGCTAAAAAGAACATTATTTTGTGTATTTGGTGTAATGAAATGTGTTTATGCGGTTTAAGGTTAAAAAAACACACATTATTTTCCACACTGTACATTATTGTTTCTCTTCTATATGCTCCGCCTTTTTGAAACGCGTCGATTTTTACGAAGCTCATTGTTCTGAAAAGCGAGGTGTGCTCTGATTGGCCAGCTATCCAGTGCGTTGTGATTGGCCGAATACCTCAAGCGTGTGATGGAAATGTTACATCCCTTACCATATTGTGATGCCTGCGGCAACCACATGTGATGACCCCGGGCTGAACTCCGCTTTGTCCACGGTGAAAACCGATCCGGCGATCGACAGCGCGAAGTTGATGTATTTCCTCAGCGACCAGCACAGATCAGCTCTAGGCAGGTGTGGTTGACTCTTAACTTTTATAAAGAATATCTCTTTGGATTTGAGACTTTAGTCTTTGAAACTTTACAGATCTTCTTTATGCACCAAGAGCTTGTAACACTCCAAAGAGAAAGGAAAAATTGAAATCGCATCATATGACCCCTTTAAATACACACACTTGTATGTGTCAAAATGCCCGTCTTTGCAAGTATCCTCGTCAACACAGTAATTTAGGTCTTAAGTGAAAGCAAACTGCTGAGAAAAAAAAAAAAACACGTGTAAAGGTCTCTGCACACTGAGTCCGAAATTTTCGTATGGGTTTTTTCGTATTCGAAATCCTAAAAATTCGTCACACACAGAAACCTTGTACACTGAGTCCGATGCGTATTAATTAATCCGTTGTGAAAAAATTAGCAAAACAGCACTAAATGGAGTATTCAAGCAGTGAGAATGATTTTGTTGTCTTCTCGCTTCTTAAAAAGAGAAAAAGAGAGGAAATATTGGGTCTATCCTATTCTGAGATATAGAGAGGACGGAGAGTTTATTAAAAAGAAGACCACCAATTTCTGTGAACTCAGTGTGCAAGGATCTTTACGGTGCTTTGTGCTGCGAGACGAAGTGGATGAACTTGACAATCGCCATTCTGGATTTTAGCGTTCGCTTGTACGGTGGCTCTGAACTGTCAAAACACCTCTCAAAATGCTTGCAACGGATGCGAAAAACGGAAAAAATCTAACCCGATCAGTGTGTAAACATGATCGACATAACGTGAGGTTATATTTATTTTTTAACGTGCGAAAATTTCGGACTCAGTGTGCAATGACCTTAGCAGTATATTGAATCTGGGCAGCTCTTAAAGTGATAGCAGTCTAACATTCCCGCTGTCTGTCATTCATGTTAATCAAACAACAAAAGTGAGAAAATCTCTCACTGCTCTTGACTGAATCACTTTTGTAACTTTAATAAGAAGAAATATATAATGTACACAGTGAAGAATATGAAGTGTTTTTTTATTATTAAATGAATTTGACTTAAAATCAACATTTCTCTCACCTGGTCTTTATTTTTTTTTACTGAGCTTGTCGTAGTGCATTCTAGGATTAGATTTGGTGCCAAGGAAACATGCAGTGCTGCCTTAGACCAAAATGTGATATCTTAGAAGTGCACTTCTACTTTTCAGACTTGGCGACAGTAGTGTGCGTGTGACACCTAAAATGCTGCCTTGGTAGGGAGCTCACTAGGTTTTAGAACGGCATCAGACTCTCTCTTTTCATCCAGTACAGTTATTTGAATAGCACTTACTTTCATATTTGTTTGATAGTGTATCCATATTCCAATGTGGGCTGCATATGGTAAGTGGTGATATGACTTAATTTTTCTGTCCTGCAGCGAGTGTTCTTGAGCAGTGCTCGGCAGACCTGTCTGTCGCCCAGTGGCAGTGTCCCTCCTGCCATGCAGTGGTTGTGTCACCCGCTGGGTCATCGTTTCTTTGTTGACGAGGACTGGTCCATTCGCAGCACCCCTAAAGAGAGCATCTACAGCCAGGCGGGAAACTCGGGTCAGTGCCATACAGACAAAATGGGATCAGTTTTTGTGTTGTATCCTGTATTTATTAATGTGCCCCTGATAACAGTTCCCCGGGCTCACCCTTGTGTGTTTTTGCGCTTGTCTGTAGTTGACCCGCTGGCTCAGGTGACCCAGGCGTTCCGCGAGCATCTGTTGGAAAAAGCCCTGTACTGCGTGGCACAGCCGCGAGGCGACAAGAACCTCACTGATGGAGATGGGTGGGTGATCATTCTCAATGCTAGTTTACACACAATCTCATCTAGGCTACTGTAGGGAATAGAGCTGCACTGGCTCCTACACCTGGTAGTAAAGAGTTATGCACCTTTTCTACAAGTTTTCTACACCTTTTATAATATTTTGATATCTGATTTCACTTGAAGGAATAAATTACATTTAATAAACTAACGTTTTAGTTTTATAAAACTAAAGAAAAAATATACATTTCAAATCAAATGTACACTTAATATGTAAATTCGTAGCTTTTCTAGTGGTGTTAGCTAGTATGCTTCCATCAGTGCTACAGATAGTGTTTAGGTAAATCTGGCAAAATTGACCAGTTTTAACAAATTGTGACACTTTATTTAACATTCAGTGCCCCGTTTACTTTACTTTTGAATCAGTCTTATAATTGTATAATTGGGGAGCTAATTTGTGCTGTGTGTTTTTTGACAGTGAATACTCAGACTCTCTGGAATACCTGCAGTTGCTTACCAGCGCCTCAGATGCAGCAGGAGCCACGACACAGTCCTTCGCCATCGGATCAAACATGGCCACCGTTACAGGTCAGCTCTCAATGAACTTCTGCCCTGACCCTGAGTGTTGTTTTGAGGACTCCTGGATCATCTTAGTGATATCAGAGAATAACACTTCAGATGAGTCACTGCTGGGCTCTCTATGTACAGCTCCGATAAGTTTGTGTTGTTGCTTTCTGTTCAGCTCCGCACGTTTCACATCACACTGCGTTCATCTCAGCGTGTTTTCATTCAAGCAGCTGTTAGTCGGTGGAATGAAGGACAGTTTGTGAGTGTGTGATCACCATTGTGTCCTTGACCTCCAGGATGTGACCCTCACTCGAAATGGTGGTCGTCGGTTGTCGTGGTGATCATTAATTGGCTCCAGGGAGATGACGTGGCGGCAGAGAGATTGTACCCAGCGGTGGAGCACTTGCCGTGCAGCCTTCAGACCGCTGAGTGAGTGACATGTGACAGTCAAAAATAGTATTATTATTATTTTATTAAAATTATTATTAAGGATCTAATTGGTTGAAAGGTTCTTCGAGTTCACACAGGTTTCCTGGTAGTAGTTCATCATGTTGTCTGGACACATTTGACAACCACAAAGCAGTGCTATTTTAGTATTATACATTTATGGTTTAATATTTAAATTTACAAAGTTAAAAACAATTTACTTTTTTTGTTTTTGTTTTTTGAAATTGCATGCATTAAATGCTTTAAATGACCAAAAATGTAGAGACATTTATAATGTTGCATACGTTTCTAATTCAAATAAATGCTGTTCTTGTGAACTTTCTATTCATCAAAGAATCTTGAAAAAAAAAGTATCAGTTTCTGCACAACTGGTTTGAACATTGATTATAAGAAATATTATTCTAGTGTAATTTACATGTTATTACATTTGTTTTTTTTATATTTTAAATTAGCTTTTATCTTTATATTTGTTTCATTTTTTTATTTTGTTTATTTTATTTAGTTATGATTAATTCATTTTAATTTATTATTTTTTTTCTGTTTATCTATCATTTATTTTTGTTTTAGTTTTAACTAAGTAGTTTATGTTGAAGTACTAAAATTATTATTTTCTGTTAGTATGCCATTTTATCATTTGCATTAAATTTTAGTTTTTAGTTTTTTATGTAATATTTGCATTTTATTGCTGCTTTATTTCAAATAACGAAAACAAATTTTAATAGTTATAATTTTAATTTTAGTTACCAATAACAACACAGATGTCACAAGGGGTGTGTGTGTGTGTGTGTGTGTATATATATATATATATTAGTTTTGTCATTTGAAGAATTTTGGTTGAAAAGTGGGATTGTGCTGTCTTTAAAACAAACACTGCTTATGTTTTAATTTTTTAATTTCATTTATAATAGATTTTAAATAGAATATTTTTTAGAATACTGTATAATTTTTTTATTATAATATTTTAATATTTTTTAGAATACTATAATACTATATTTTTAATACTTTCTCTCTTTACATATACATACATACATACACACACACACATCATTATCAGTTGCTCTTATCAGAGTGGCTTTTCCTGGTGAATCACTCTTTGTTGATACAGCCGCATTGGGGTTTTTTTTTTTTTGTGTGGGCTTATTGCTTTTAGCTCTGTCTGTGCTAAGCGCATCCTGTTTGTGTTGCAGGAGTCCGCTGCCCAAAGCCTGTCTTAACACTTTCAAAGCGGTGCGCTCCCTGCTGGCCAAACCAGAGAACTTCCAGCTCAGCCTCAGCTACTGCGAGAAAGCCAGCGGCCTGTTCAGACACAGCCTCAACCTCGGCCCACACTGCAGCACCAATACGCTAGACAAGGTAGATGCGCACATGCACATGTAGAGTCACTGTGTCATGTGGAGCTGTTAGTTTAAGGTGTGTGTCTTTTCTTGGACAGGGCTGTAGTGCATTGTAGTTGCATTGCATGTGCCTCAACTGTGCAATGTTCCTGCAGTGCAATACAGAGCTGGACCGCAGTGACTCATGAACACACTGTTGTTGTTGTTGTTGTTGTCTTTTAATTACTTTTAATTAACCAACCGGTCCCAGGGTGATGCATGAAGTCAGTTCTCCTCAAGTTCACACAGATGTCATGGTAGTAGTTCATCGTGTCATTTTTGGACATGTACAACCATGTTTGACAACCACAAAACAGTGCTATCTTTATTATTGATATATTATTGTAGTATTTATTAATATTTTGAGTTAGCTTTCATTTTTATATGTAGATATATTATTTTATTTTTTTAATAAACATTTTAGTTGTAGAAATGTTATGTGCTTTTGTCATTTAAATTTTTTTATATTTCTATTAAACATTCATTTATTTTTATTTCAGTTTTATTTTTTTATAATTTTAGTACTTAAACTTATTTCAGTTGTTCTGCCATTTCTCATTTTCATTTAAGTGTTTAATTTTACGTTATTCATTCTATTTTATGTTAGCTTTTTTTCCGTTAACAAAATCGATTTTTCATAGTTTTAGTTAACAATAACAACACTGGCACAAAGTGTAAACAGTATCTTTTGTTTTCTCACAGTGTTTTGGTTGAAAAGTGTGCACTGTCTTTCTTTAAAATAAACACAGTTTGTTTAATATTTTAATAATAATAATAATAATTAGATTATAAGGTAGTAAAACCATAAATGTATAAAATATTTTTTTTATTTATATATTCGTTCTATTATTATTATCAAAATAGTTTATTATTATTATAATTAAATATATTTAAATGTAAACTAATGTATATTTTTCCTTTTTTAGTAAAATTGTATTAATTAAACGTTGTTAAAAAGGCATTTTAGTCCCATTTCAAGTAAAGAAAATTCAATTCGAATGAATTAATTTATTTTTTATTTTTTATCAATTTATGTAAAAATATGTGAAATGTGTATTAAACATTGGGGAGGGGGTGTTTGGCAGCGCCTAATTTTAATGATATTAAACAGATGTCAACACATCATTTGTATAACAGCACATTAAACGGTTCCTTATTTAAGCATGTTGTTTTTTTGCTGTCACACACTCACACAGATGGTAAAACATCTCAAGGCTTGTGTTTTGAGATTGTCTGATTTGTTTGCGTCTGTCTGTGCTGTAGCTGGTGCAGTTGCTGCTGTGTGATCTGTTGTTGGTGACGCGCACTAATGTGTGGCGGGAGCAGCAGGTGGCGTCTCAGCAGAGCTCTCCGACGGCCGCCTCTCCTGCAGAGCTGCAGGGCTTCCAGCAGGACCTCAGCTCGCTCCGCAAACTCACCCAGAGCTTCAGACCGGCCATGCGCAGGGTGAGAGGCCAGAGTCCACACTAAAAGCACGACGTGCTCATATTTATGTCTCAGGTTCATTGAACTAAGAAATGATCTATTTGAGCAAACTGTTGCATACAGCTTGACCTGGGTCAGGCAGTGTGATCAAAATCTTATATAACCGTCAAACAGTATATACCCATAATGCCACCCACTCTCTGTCTCAGACTCACAGACATTTTTTTAAATGAATTAATATATATATATTTTTTTTTTAATTATTTCGTTATATATATCAAAGAAAACCAATATAAATGTATTTAATAAATATAAATACATTTATTTATTTATCAGCTTTTTATATTTATATTTTACTTTTTATGTTTTTATTGTCCGTTGTTTGTGGTTTATTTTTTGAACTGCATTTGTAAGACAAAGTGTGTAAATAACACTACATTCAAACTTGACAGGTGTTCCTATTGAACGCGGATTACAAAAAAGGTTGCACGCTAATCTTGTTTTATAAGGAAGTTTGAATCTGTTTGACATCAAAAGCTTGGTTTAACAGACGTTCCGCAGGCAGGATTATTTGGTGTGGGTTCATGTGTTTGCCTGTGTAACTCAATCGCTCTGTTTTTGTGTCTCTGCAGTTGTTCCTGCATGAAGCCACAGCTCGGCTGATGGCGGGAGCCAGTCCAACACGCACACACCAGCTCTTGGACCGCAGTCTGCGCCGCCGCACCACGCCTGGAGGCAGAACAGGTGAACATGCAGAGCATTTCCAAGCATTTTTGATATTTAAAATGTCTTTATTTGAATAGAATTGATTATTACATCTGAGAATTTTGAGCAACAGTGTTTAAATGTTGCATTCAGGTCCAATTTTCCAGTCATGAAATGTGTAATTTTTATTTATCATATCACTACAGTTGAAAAGTTTGGGGTCAGTAAGATTAAAAAAAAAAATTTTTTTGAAAGAAATTAATACTTTTCTTCAGAACGGATGCATAAATTTGATCAGAAGTGACAGGAAAGACTTTAAAAAGACATTAATATTGTTACAAATAGATTTCTATTTCAAATAAATGCTGTTCTTTTGAATTTTCTATTTATTAAAGAAACCTGGAAAAATGATATCACGTTTTCCACAAAAAATTTAAATTTGCACAACTGTTTTCAACATTTGATGATAATTTTTTTTGAGCAGCAAATCAGCATATTAGAATGATTTCTGAAGGATCATGTGACACTGAAGACTGGAGGAATGATGCTGAAGTTTTGCTTCACAGGAATAAAGTACATTTGAAAATATTTTCAAATAGAAAACAGTTATTTTAAATTGTAATATTTCATAATAATATTTTTACTGTATTTTGTTTTAAATAAATACAGCCTTGGTGAGACTTACTAGTGCTGTCAAATGATTAATCGTGATTAATCGCATCCAAAATAAATGTTTTTGTTTACATTGTGTGTGTGTGTGTACTGTGTATATTTATTATGTACATATAAATACACACACATGCATGTATATATTTAAGAAATATATGTTATATTTGTATATTAAATATATTTATATATAATATCAATTATATAAATATATACATGTAAATATTTTCAAAATATATATTGTATGAGTGTGTGTATC